CCACTGAAAATAATAAAAAACAAACTAATTTTAACATTACCACCATAAAAAAGTAACCAAAATGATGTAAATGTCAAAAATAAAACTGTGGACTAACAATTCCATACAAGTCAAAGAAACTTAGGAGGCCTGATAAAGACGCTGAGACATATGATGGTCAATTGCATCTAGAAAGTTTTATATTCAAACCATCCAGATTTATATCACTCAATATCAAACAGGTACATGAAGCAATTAAATGACCTACTCCAGTTTTAAGAAACATTCTATCTTTGTGCTATATTGAATCATGACAAAGACATATATGGATGCAACCATTTCTACAAACACAAATTTTACGAGAATTCTTTTAAATTCCAATACATTGGAAAATAAACTTAAAGATTATAATGAAGAAATTTTATGAGAAACAATAGATTTAAGATTATCAAGTTCAGCCACTTTTGAAAACCAGGCCTAATAACGCTGTGCAAGGGTGGATACAGGCCCGAAGTGCTGGGCGCCCCCCCCCCCCGTTTTGAAAATCAAATCAAAATAATTGCAAAAATTGGGTCCTTGAGGAGGGAAAAATGTAGTGGAATTTCATGTTAAATTCAAAATAAAAAAGCAATAACAACAACAACATCTAGCAAACATTATAACGAATCTAAATAACCCATTTAACCCCTACCAGGGAAGTCTCGAATATTCCTCATTTACGTTCAGAATCATCGCGCCTCCCCGTTTTGAAAATCCTGGATCCGCCACTGTATATAACAGTTTTCATAACTTATTCTTTACTCTGTCGTGACCCGCCACCTACGACGTTCTACACCTTATAAGCAACTGTTACAAATAGCAGTTCAACTAAGACTTTGAATGTTGTAGCTCAGCTGGCCTAAAGATCGAAATGCCTCATTGGCAGCTGCATAAAACAAATAATGTTTAGTTGAAATGCTATTATACAATTTTCTTACTGAAAGCATGTATTGGGTCATAAAGAAGGCTGTTATCAATCTTACAGTTATAGAACTAGGTGTCGTGAACATTGTTGAGAAGTTGAACTAAGAAACTTCTTACATAACTTACTGTATAGAAAATAAAATTTACAAGGCAGCACAAAACATTATTGTAGTAGTTGGTATTACTCAGATAATTACAGTCAGAAGTGCTTCACCATTTTCATGTTCTTCAAACAGCTGATCACAGTTAACAACAACAACATAAGCATTATTTCATTCCGGTGATCACAGCGGTATTAATAAGACTTTGAGATAGCTACTACCAAAAATCAAACTGTGTATTTACGTGTTTTACACTCACAAAAAGAAACCTATCATTCTATAGGTATTTGAAGAACTTGTAGCAATCCACCACAATTTAATTCTTCGTATTGTTAGCCGGCACTGGGCAACTTGTTTTTGTGAGTGTAAAACACGTAAATACATCAGTTTGATTTTCGATACCTCGCTCGTATAAAGGCTTGGGGTCACTGATGAGGAGTGTAATTCTCCGAAACTAGTCTGGCTCACAGACACACACCCAAATGAAAGAATAGACCATTCCAAGCTTTTACTTGTTGTTAAACAAATGTTTAAACAACTCTACTTATTCATTTAAGCTACTACCAAGTTGAATGCCACCAATATTAAATAGTACAGAACCAATGGGAACGAGTATAACAGCATATTCGTGGCATAATTTAAAAATAATCTGTTAATGTGGAAACAAGCATATCATACTGGAGATGGTTTGTTTTACAACCTGGAGGTGCACGCCTTATCAGTATAAAAAGCTTGGTTTGTTTGTTTGGTTTTGAATTTCGCGCAAAGCTACACGAGGGCTATCTGCGCTAGCCGTCCATAATTTAGCAGTGTAAGACTAGAGGGAAGGCAGCTAGTCATCATGACCCACCGCCAACTCTAAGGCTACTCTTTTACCAACGAATAGTGGAACTGACCATCACATTATAACGCCAGCACGGCTTAAAGGGCGATCATGTTTGATGCAAGTCAAGCGCCCTAACCACCTGACCATGCCGGGCCTGTATAAAACAATCAGTTGAAAGTTAAGGATTTTATATTAAGATATGGAATACCAATGAAGTTTTATTCAAATTAAGAACTGAGGCTCAGATTATTCTTTTTGAAATCAAGTAAACCAGGACAACAGTACTTAATTCTTCATTAATAGGAATTATCAAACAATAAAACTTTGTAAGACTGACGAAGGTAGTCTTTTATGTCAGAAAGAATTTTAATATGTGGTACTAAGATCTACTAGTATTACTAAAGGCTAAAGAACTACAATACCTTGAGTAGATGTTGCTCTCCAGCGCCTCTCTTGCTTGGCAAAGAAGTAAAAGTACCCTATAGCCGTTTTATAAATTATTCGTTCATGTGGACTTAGACAGATTACACCATTAATTTAAGAGTATAACATTGACACTTTGCCCGATTTTGCCCAGCAGAAGCTAATATCGGCCAATAACAAGAGGGGGTGAGATTATGTTGTCAATTCTGACTCTTTATTCCAGCGTGGGAATATGTTATGGTTAGGCATATGTTATGGTTATCTGGCTAAAAGTTTTAAGTAAGTCTAAGAAGCTCAAGTGTAGAAATAAAATAGGATAGATTTCGTACTTCATCATAGCCAGTGCTGCTTATTATGATCATCTATGGAAATACTATTCTGAGAAATTAGGATATTTGTTACGTACATAAATGGTAAAAAGAATGAAATGGCAAAGGAAAAACGGAAATAAAAATTTTACAATACTTCAGATAGGCAGGGTAATTGGAAGGCTCGCAGTGGAAAGCGCCTGGTATGGCCCAGTGGCTAGGCTGTCATGCTGCAGATCGAAAGGTCCAGGGCTCGAGACATGATGCCACTGAATATGCTCCTCAATTTCAGCTGTGGGCGTGTTATTAAAGTGGTAGATTACCCCATAATTGAGTTCAAAGAGCCGAACAAAGCTGGCGGGTGCTGCTAGCTAGCTGAATTGTCTCTGTCAGTACTTCAAAATTAGGGACAGCAAATCTGAATCAAAGAGATCTCTGACGTAGCCGTTTAATCCATTTGCGTATAAGATGCTGTTCATGTGGAATATTCCAGCTCCAATTTACAGCGCAAAGGAGAATTTAAAGAATCATGGATCTAACACTAATGTTGGTAACAGTTCCAGGATGACGATAATCTAGGCTTAAAGATTACCTCGAATTAGCAGTTTAGACGACGGGAAAGAATTGCTTAACAGTTTTATTTCTGGGCAAATTAAAAGATGTTAAAAGTACTAATTAAGAAGTTTTCACGGTATTTTCGCCTATGAACACCAAAAGTAATATAGTTAAAAGATATATATATAGCATTAATCCACTGAACACCTTTTTCATCTCTACCTAATTGTATCCTTCTAACAAACTTACAAAATTCCTATAGTTTTAACTACATGGAACCTTACTCCATTCTTCAATTTTATTGAATAAATTCAACCAACTGTATTTTCATTAAAGCAATATAATTTCAAGTTGGATTGTTTTGTCTTAGGGCTAGGTTTATACTTATGACTATTTCTTTTATAACTAGCCGCACAGTAATAGCATTATCTCTACCTTATTATAATAGAACAATGATGAAGTTTTGCGATTATAAAGCAAAAAATATAATCGATAAAAATATAAAACTGCTCTTATTTTGGCAAGATATGTCTCATATAAACCTACTAAGGTCTCAGCATAGCCTGTTTAATGAATTAATACATAGTTGGGAATGTCTTCTATTATTGACTGTTTAATCAACCTTTTGCCCTTTAAATTCAAAAATGCAATGCTAGTTTCATTGGAGTTATTTTAATACACCTTAAATTTCTGGGTTCTATAAAAAGATATCATATTTATCAGTTCAAATCCACATTAATGCCAAAAGTTACCCACCATTCTGTGTATGTCCATAGGAGGATCCACCGGATTCGTTATCATAAACAAGGTGTATCAAAAGACTCCTGTAGTAGTTGATATTATCCAGATAATTTCCGTCAGCTTGTGTGTATATTCGAAATTTCCATTTGGTGGATTTATGGATACGTTTTCAGTTGAATACTTTTTGTCAGTTAATTTTTTTAAAATCACGATATAGTTGTTCAAAATGACTGAATATAAATTGATGCCAGAAATTGAGTGGCAGTCAATAATTCTGGTACATTTTAATACAGGTTATGTCTTTTCTTTTATGTTTCATTAACATAGCTTCATTACGGCGTTTTTCTAGTTGTTTTTAATTGTTGAAATATCATTGATCTTTCTAAACTTTCCTGCTAGAAACTTAAAATCAGTTAATCTATCCTGGTATATCTTAGACTGTGTATTTTGGACGATAGGGAAAACCTCTCGTACTCCTTACGCCCAGTAACATAAATAAGGTTACAATGATGTTTTCCAGCGTTTCAAGTATGGTGTACAGCTGTGGAATCTGAAGTAGGACTAGCACCTGTAAACTGGATCGCAAAGAACAAGGGCTCTCATGTGTAATATGTCAACATTATCGTGGCCATGGTGTCAGATTGGCTCGAAGCTTATCTCAATACATATAAAGCAGGATCAGTCCACCAATTTCGCAACTTTAGAGTCCGCCACAAGCATGATGCCACGTGACAGGATCTTACTTTAACGGAAAAGTTGCCAGAACCAGAAGATTTCTTTCGTTTGTGGCAGTCCTAGTACAAGTTGTATTGTCTTTTAAGTGTAGCTATTTGCCTATTTGTGGAAAGATCTAGTTGACAGACTAATTGTTGTTCTTTAGTGATTAATTTGTTATCTTTGGTTGGCCCCGCCCCGCCTCAAGACGGCGGTGCTGGCCTTAATCGTTTACATGTTAATTTCTTCACGTGCAAGTTGTTAGCATACAAGTGAAGCAGAGGCCACTAGAGCTTGTCGCCTCAGGTTAGCCAGGGATGAATATGAAATCCTGAGCAACTTCTCTCGAGCTGTTTGTATATCACACTCGTCACCAATCGCCTGAGATTCCATTGCTTCAGGGATTCTTATATTCGTGGTATCTTGTGGAGAATCGTCACTTGATCAACTGTCTCATGCTTAGTGTCGCGAAGATGATGGGGACCTTTCAGTTGAGGGTTATGAATGTTTGTTACATTTACTGTATTACTATCTTCCTCGAGAGTAAGTTTATTCAATATATTTTCTTTTTCGTTTTAGCTGTTATCTCGCTCTACAGGTCAGGGTAGACTTTGTATCTGACTGTGACGTTGTGATTGATAGTCTAGTACTCTCTTTATCTTGCAGGTTGGGTATGATGAATTAACACCACAAGTTGGCATGTCGTATAACCGAGTTTTTCCTGTCTAACTTGAGCAGGTGTCGCTCTGGAAGGCCACAAGAATCTCCTGGGGCTAAAGCAACTGCCGATCACAACTCATAAGACGTCTGTTCATCTTCTCTCCAGAGATTTCAACACAAAGACCAGTACAGAAGATGCCACAACAGACAAATTTTCCCAGGGGTCGTCTCGTCTTTTCCATATTAATGATACTCTTCATCAGTGCTGCGTGAAAGGAAAACATATAATACCGATTGGGTTTGGTTTGTACACCCCTTTCTTCCTCCTTTTGATTCTAAGTAGACAAGTTTATATTTAACATTTCAGAAAATTATTTATTAACAAGCCCACAATTCCACAGTAAAATTTTAAGACTTGAAGGTTTACAAATAACAAAAACAAACACTGTACCCGTGGTATGTATGTCACCTTCAATTCAACTGGGCATGGAGAGTGTAATAACTTATCAGTAGGACTTTTGGTAATAACTTATCAGTAGGACTTTTGCTTTGTGTAATTACCTTACTTTTATTTTCATTCATTTAAAATCATGACAAATCTTGTGATATAATATTGAATTTACAAAAACTATAAGCATTTATCACTTATAAAGCTATCAAATATACAAAGTTCAGATATACTGTGTTGAAAAAGTAAGCTAAATAATAACTGCTTTTCACAGACTTCACGGGAAACCGGAAATACGTAGATATTGGACGCTGTCGTCGCAGATGCAGACACAAACTCCATCATCATTTGCGTCACCGCAAAAACTTAACACAAGGAAATCATATAAGTTTGGATGACATGATTACTGAAACAGTATTTCAGGTAAGTGAAGATCCCCTGATTTAATAACAACTGTCTATGAATGAAAAATTATGATTAATATCTCAAAATATTTAATTATTTTTTGTTTTACTTCTATTTGTCATCTTTGTCTTTCCTTATCCTCCCTTCCGGTTTAATTAAACTATAAGTTGCTATCAAACGTTATCAGAGGAAGTTAAGAAACTACAACTTCACCAAAAACTGTTTGTTTATATATTTTATTGGATAATTTTAGTCATCTTCTATAAGAGAAGAAAATTGTTTTCCCAATACCATTTAAAACGCATTGAATAAGTTATATTTCAACGCTATATTAGTAATGAAAATATAATTAATATATTTTAATTGTCCTTTACATACACTGCTTAAACGGTTAAAAATTCAAAGAGAAACGCGAAGCAATTTAAGCTCAAAGCTACTGAATTCAGTCCAAAAACGGATTATAAAATTAAAATTTTATCAAAGAAATTACTTATAGATTACACAGGCCTGCGAATATAAACTTCATAAAAGTTATTTTGTTTTAATAACGGATTTTCCATTATTCAGGTACGCATATTTTGAAAATAATATTAATTTTTTTTTTCTATCACGTAAGGATTTTTTACAAATCGGAAAGAAAAAAAAAACTCTTTCTTAGATCAAATTATTATTTCGTTTACCACAATGACCATTTTTTATTATTATGTTTGTTATGTTTAGGTTCTAGAATGATCGATAAGACT